ACAGGTTTATTACTTATGTTTAGCAGTTTCCCAGATGGGCAATATTAGACTGAAACAGGAAAATACTAACATTGATGCATAGTGATTATAGTCAGTCTTAGAAACTAAAAGCAAGTTTAAATAAAAACACAAACAAAACAGGAAAAGAATGCCATAATTCCGCAGTGGTCCACCAAGGTGCACATTTAATAAGAAATGTGTTTTCATTTTGGATCTAACCTAAGGTAAGAGCTGGAATTCTGTTCCCAATGTTAAAGTGAAAAAAAAAAAGGGAAGAAAATCTAAAGCATAATGTACAGTATTGTATTCATTTTTATAAAATGCACCTGATAGCTCATTGTTTAAGAGCAACAAGTTGAAATTTACCATCCCAATAATGTTTCTAAAAGTATTCCTTGAATAGAAGCTCATAGTTCACAGTCATGTTATGTTGTGTGACGGAAGTATTTCTTTACACCACACATAGTCAACCTGTGGAACTAGTTGCCCAGGGATGTTGTGAAAGCCAAATATATAAATAGGTTTAAAAAAGAATAAGATAAGTTCATTGAGGATGAGTCCATCAATGGCTATTAGCCAAGATGGTCAGGGATGCAACCCCATGCTCCAAGTGTCCCTAAATGTCTGACTGCTAGAAGCTAGGACTGAATGAGAGGGGATAAATCACTTGATAATTGCCCTGTTCTGTTCATTGCCTCTGAAGCGTCTGGCATCAGCCACTGTCAGAAGACAGGATGTTGGGTTAGATGGACTATTTGTCTGACCCAGTATGGCTGTTTTTATGTTATGTAAGTATTTCACTTGTCTCAGCATGCTCTCTCCTCTACAGTGTGACCTCATTTCTTTTAGGAATCATTTATTCGTTGATTGAAAAAAATCAAGTGTCGTCTGATTTGTCTTTTCATAAAGTCTTTTCACTCCTATTGACGTGTTTATTATACTGTATACAGAGCATAATTCTTATGCTTCTGTTAACTCAGAAGTCATGAGGTCAAGAAAAAACTTGTCAACAAAAATCAAACATTCATATTTTATTATGTTACATTTATTAAATCAAAAAGTATGCTTGAAGCGGTGCTGTGTACAGAGCGCTTACTAATAGGCACGGGGAGATGGGACTCAGCAGATTGGGATGAATACAGTTATTTTTTCAAATGTAAATATACAGACTCACTTGTAGGGTTTACAAAAGAAGTAACTTTTTAAATAGAGGGTATTGATGTGGTAAACTGGAATGGTGAAAGCTACATGATCAGAATTTGTATTAACTAACTCAGACTCTAAAATATATCTGCCTTGGTTGTGTTTAGTACATGAATTCTGAGATTCTTTGTGAATGTATTCAAATTCCCTCAGTAAATATTATTACATGATGGCAGTGTGAGAAACACATGTGTAAATCATAAAATGGATATAAACTAATTTAGTCTTCTAAAAACTACACAAATGTGGCTAAAAGATTCACTGGGAGTATGTGAATAGTCAAGAACCAGCATGGAGCCACAAGATATGCAAAAACTGCCTATTATAGAAGAAGATTTTCCCAAAGATCAGTAATTCATTTGGACTCAGAGTAAGGGTGACAACGCTGCTGAAAAGCAGACCCTCCTCTTCAGATCTGTTCTTCTTAGTTTGAGGTGACAATTCCATGTTTGTGAATTACTGATTCCTGCCAGTTTATCACTTCTTACTGTACGCCCCTCCCACCCAGCCATTGGCCTGTGTTGTCTTGTCTTCTTCTTCACCTTAAAAGGTTTTTTTTAACAAATAGCCATATCCTGAATGTAATGGCCTTGCACCGCTTTCACCCGCAGTCTGACAATATGCAGTAATGTGAGTTGCCCCAAGCATTGCACAGGGTAAAGGTGGTCTCTTTCTAACCTCAGGCTAACACATACAAATCCAATAATTCTTGTGCACCACTATTACGCTTTGGCAGAGATGTCTGTTTCCCACAGTTCTTGCAAAGGAATCTTTCTTCGGTGTTCTCCTATGCAACCTCCCTAGCCCTATCTTGGTCCTATCTTTGCTTCCTCCTCCCTTCTACTGCCTTATTCTTGTGTGATGTCTTCTTCCCTTTTCCTGTCCTCACTTGGGATTATATCTTAGGTGTCCTCAATAAAATTTGTGTTCGACAGTATTTACTATGTACATATTACAGAAGACATAATAGAGAAGTAGAAAAGCCACCAACATCCACAATGCCATTCCCTCCTGCCTTCACACAATCCCCTTTTAGAACAGATGGTGTCTGCACAAATGCCCCAGAGTAAAACAATAACATACTGTGGTCCTGGTACATGTACTAGAGAGAAATTCTTTATCCCTACTTTGGCTGTTGTAAAGCTGTGTTTGCATGCATCTAATTATGACAACAAACCTACATCATAATTGCATGGAATATAATGTAGGTGATTTGAGAATTGGATGGTATAATACAGTGTAGGTAGTGACATGAGGCCAGATTCTGGTTAGTTCCGGTATGCGTGTGCTGTTGAGGGAGAGGCAGCAAAGCGGCTACCACTTCATGCTGCCACAGAGGGGTCAGGCATTATTGCAGTACTTGCACTTCTCTGCCAAGCACTGATAATGGCAGTAATGACCCTGAGAGGTGTGAGGAGAGGCCAGAGGCAGTGAGCTTGTTAGCTGCCTGAGTAGCATCATGGTTCAGATGGCATTTCCTCTAGGGTTAATGCAGCAGCGTCACCTGTTCTGTGTACCTAGCAGCTTTTGGAGGCACCAAGTCTCATGAAGCTCTCATTAGCATGTTGTGCTTCCGCATAGCCTCCAACACAGAGCTATGGCTTAATGCCACAGTTCAGCCCCTCCGCTACTGTAAGGTATGTCACAATCTATGTACTATGCCTGTAAAATCTTATAACTTTTCACAAACTTTAGTAATACGCTGTCCTTCCTTAGGGTTGTCTTGCTTCGCTCCCTTCACTTAATCCTCTGACTCTTTCATTTAACAAGGACAAAAGAAGCAGATTGCAAGGAATAATGTGATGCCCTCTTGAGATAAGACATTTAGACATGTATAAATAGAAAGAAAGGCATGACTACTCAATATCAAATGTGTCGCAGTTTTGTAGCTAGTCTTCAAGAAAAAATGGCCCCATTTTGAATAAGGGGGCTTCAGATAAAACAATGGTAAGAGAGCATTTATATTCCATAACTTTCTAGTCTTCTGCATCTGTAGGTTTCAAAAGTAAAAATAAATAAATAAAAATTTAACACTGCTTTATTTATATTTCGTTGCTGGGATGTATTTGGTGGTTGAGTAGTTTATATATATTTTTTCAGCTAACATTCTTGAACAACCTATTTACTGAATAGACAGATGAGTAGATAAAAATAATAAACCATTATAGACCCCTTCATAAATTTTCCTCTAGCCCAACAAGGAGAAATTCTGATCTTTTCCTGAACTTGGGCCCTCCATATTATCCAGTCAACAGCACTAAAATACTACATTGGTATCTAGACAGTACAAAGGATGTGAGGCTCTTATTTCTAATCTTGTACAGATATATCTATTTTTCTGTAGCTGTGAATATTTTGTATTACATCCCATTATAATTTTTTCCCCTCTAATTTGTTTAGAACAAAAGTTGAGCAGTATAATTGCATTGAAAAGTGCTTATTATAATTGAACATTTTACCAAGGGGAAAAAGTTCTGAACAATGAGACAATACACTCATCACTTATGTCACTTTTATGTTTTGAGTGTTAGGTTAGAACTGCAAGCACATAAATACCGTAAAGAGGTAGGTGTACTTCTGAAGATCTAACTTCTTCATATCCTGGTTAGGTCACTTAAGCCAGTTCTACACTTAAAACCTTTCCTGGTACACCTCTACCTCGATATAACGCTGTCCTCAGGAGCCAAAAAATCTTACCGCATTATAGGTGAAACCACGTTGTATTGAACTTGCTTTGATCCACTGGAGTCCGCCCCCCCCCCAGCACTGCTTTACCGTGTTATATCCGAATTCGTGTTATAGCAGGTTGCGTTATATTGGGGTAGAGGTGTATAGTAATGTTGGTTAGGAGGTGATATTTTTATGGCAGTATTATGCTGGCGACAGTCCTAGTGTAGATGTAGATACACTGGCAAAAACACTCTTTTTGCCAGTATAACCTGGATCTACAATAATAAGGTGTGCCTTTATAGCTATACCTCTATAGCTTTTCTGGGGTGGACTAGGTCTTAAAAAGGAGTCTGGTGATATCATTTGAGTCCCTCGTGGCTATATAGCTATATCACAAAGTACATAAGAATGACAGTCCTTTTTCAAATGAGGCCTGCAAACGTTGCTGGTCAAGACTGAAATGAACGGAGAAAATGTTATGGGGAAAATATGCAAGAGGCCTGACAGATCCAAGTTTGGCTGTAGTCGGTGCTATTTGCACTTTCATTTTCGTGAGCATCAAATTCTCATAGAGATATTAATTGCACATGCACCATCAAGCAAGAAGAGTGGTCTGTGTTTACTTTTCCTCCACCCAACTAGTGTCAGTATCACTGCTGTTTTTGCTGTCATGGTACATGCATATGTGGGTGGAAGAGTTGCTTTCCTTTTTGTGAATGTCTGTTGTGCTTCCTTTCTCCATCTGCAGTCAGACTGAGAACTCCCCAGTAATTCATCTAAACTGATATTTCTCATAGTTCTGCTCACAGAAAACATTGGGAATTTTATGACCATTTGTTCCTAAACTAAAGTAAGATGTCTGAGAGGAGCTTCAATAAAAAGCTTAAAAGAACCAGACACTAACAAAATGGACTTCTATTCAGGGAGCTGTTGAATGACTTTGGCTGCACTAGTTTGTTTATACAGCAACTTAGAATATGTTATTAAAAATATCACACATAACAGAGGAGAATTGAGTTTCATTACTCGGATGTAATTATCTCACACTGTGTGAATCTGCCTTTTCTTGTCAAGAGCAAAGTAAAAGTCCTAGCCTATTATAACATCTCTTTTGATGTTTTTTATAGGATATAATGAAAGATGAATGTTCAGTGCTGAAGTTGCAGCTGAAGGAGAGAGATGAACTCATTTCCCAACTACGCGAGGATCTGGTAAGCAGGATGTGCACTTTTGTCTGAGAAGTTCACTTTAACTGACAAGGTCGGTCACTCGTACGAAAACTAAATAAACAGTTTCACACCTGCTTCAGGATGGACATCTTAAGGCTATATTAATCATTCAACCTGATTAATGCAGCTTTTATGACTCTACATTTCTGGGGACTTGTCAGACTTTGAAAGGGCTAATACCCGGACACCCTGATGGTGGTTCTTTGTTTTAAAAGATTGTGTTGACAGTTGTCTTACAATATCAAAGAGGCATTAATCACTGGTGAAGGAACAATACAGCACTGTGTATACTGGTTAGCATATGCCAAAAATCTTGAAGGGCAGTACGTGCTTTCTCCTGAGTTGTTATAAATTATTCTTCCTTCTACTGCCTTGCAAAGCAGTGAAGCTATCTAACACATAACAAATACTCTTCTGTTAAAACAGATGTTCCCTTAATTTGAAAAAAACAAAACCTGAATACCCTAATTATGTTGATACAACTTTTCATTATTGTATTATGTGGCAAAGTTTTGTTGACTTGAATTTTAGGATAGCCATATTGATCACAAGTGGAAAAGCTGTATATATAATATAGAGTATATAGGAGGAGTATACAATTTTTTAAAAAACGAACTATTATTGTGATTAAAACGGTACTGCGATAATATAAAAAAACTAGCTTTTGATAGTGCCACCCATAAAACAGCATGTCTTCAATTTTTAATTCCCTTTAAAAAAATAAAGGATGAAGAGTTTTTCTGCTCTGATATTTTTAAGGGTTGTTTTAGAAAGAAAGGTTTCAGAGTAGCAGCCGTGTTAGTCTGTATCCGCAAAAAGAACAGGAGTACTTGTGGCACCTTTAGAGACTAACACATTTATTTGAGCATAAGCTTTTGTGGGCTATGAAGAAGTGGGCTGTAGCCCACGAAAGCTTATGCTAAAATAAATTTGTTAGCCTCTAAGGTGCCACAAGTACTCCTGTTCTTTTTTTAGAAAGAAAGAAATTAAGGGCTGAGTTGAGGAAAGAATTTATGCATGTGCTTAAGTTCCTTTGGCTTCAATGTCACTTAGATATGTGCTTAAATACCTGCTTAAGTTCCCTTCCTGAATAGGGATGTTTTCCTGAATTGGGCCCTTAGGCCCCAATTCTGCAAGTCAATTCTTGCAAGATAGAGCTGATTCAGGGTGGCAGGTTTGTATAATTTTTGGTGGTGCCCAGAACAGGTCCAAGCCCTGCCCCCCCCCCCCCCCCCCACACACACCTGCCTTGTAAGCCAAGATACAGGAACTCCTCCCTTAGTCGTCCTGCTTAACATTTTGTTGTTACGTTGCTGATCAATTAAAGCAGCGGTTCTCAAACGTTTTTTCGAGGACAACTTGAAAATTGCTGAGGGTCTCGCCGGACCACTTAATGATCTTTCCAAATGATGTTTGTACCGTTAGCTAACTATAGTAAAGCGCTTTGGATAAAAGTGCTATATTTAAAAAAAAACCTTCATAATTAACGTTTTTTTGTTCTATGCATAAAAGCACACAACTCATATTTTAATATCAGTAGTCTTAACCTTTCTAATGTGATGGATGTGCCCTCTCTCCCCCACCGTGGCAGCCCCCGAGCTGGGGCTGGGGAGGAGGGGCGGGGTCTCTCCCTCGCTCCCCTGCTGCAGCAGCCACCAAGCTGGGACTGGAAAGGAGTGGGGTCTCTCCCCTGCCACAGCAGCCACAGAACTGAGGCTGGGAAGGAAGGTCGTCTCTCCCCGGCAGCTGCAGCCCTGGAGCTGGGGAAAGTCGCTTCTTTGTCTGGCCACTGCAGCCCTGCGTGTCCCAAATTCCCCCCACCCCCTCTTCTCATACCAATGCCCCCTCCCACTTAACCCCTATTCCCCCCAAGGCCACCACTTCATTTTATGTGTGCGTCTTCTCCAGGGTCCAGGCACCTAATTAGTGGAGCCACGTCTGCACAGCTCCACTAATTTGGTAGGTGGTCCTTCATTCTCTCATGTGCAGCCACCCAGGCATGCACCTTAAAGGGAATTATCCACGGACGACCTGAATGGAGCTCGCGGACCACTGGTGGTCCGTGGACCACAATTTGAGAACCTCTGAATTAGAGAACATGCTCGTTTAAAGTTGCGCAATGCTCCCTTAGAACGTTGTTTTGTATTATTTTTTGTATCATATGCTCCTTTGTTTACCTGTGCGAAATCCTATCTAACTGTATAGTTGTGTCAAATGAGGCTGTTTAGGGGGAAGCAAAGGGGAAATGACTCAAAAACAGAGATAAGTCTCCTTAAGAGAACAATGGGACTATTAACTGGGGAATGCCCTTGCCTGGGTCCAGGCAGGCTAGGGAGGTTTACTCTTCCTGAGACTGACATGAGATTCAAAGGGCATACTAAACCATTAAAGGACCCCAAAGGCTTGAAAAAGAAGAGGGGTTCAGTGGGTTGTCAGTAGCAGCTAGAGATGAGTCAGAGACAGAAACTGCTGCAAATATACTGTCTCTTCCAGCCCAGAGATGGCGGTAGCTGGGCTGGATGCAACTCACCAAAGCTTTCAAGGAAACATTAACGTTTAGGTATTGGGAAATGTGTGTAGGCCTTTCCTATATGTGCTATGTAACTTTGGGTGGAAAAGTGCTTTGTTATGAAGAAGCTGGTTTTGAGTCATTTGATTCAGCTGCTGTCACAGGGTTGTGGGGAAAAGGTCTTAGAAGTGCCAAACAAAGCTGGGCCTGTCATGTTAACGTAAACCAAAGGATTGCCACCCAGAGATCCACTCCTAGAGTGGTTCCACTCTTGAGAGAGGTGCAGGAAGCCAGTCCTGTCATCTGAGGGGTGCACTTGAATGGATCTAAAAGGGGTCTGTAACCATGACCAGTATTGCACACAAATTAAGAGCAAATATTTTAATGGAAAGAATTCACTAAATGTAGCACTTTTCCAGGATTAAAAAGCACCTTTACCATATCATCACCAGAATGTATTTGCAGATGTTCAATATTCTTTGTTTCAGAGTTAGCTACATTAAGAAATGATGTATTAGGTAATTATTATCTTAAATTATATGACAGAATGGGATACAGAGAACATTAAGCTTCTCTATAGTTCGGGTGCAGTAATACAATATCAGTTTAGTTCAGAACATACATTATCAACTGGTTGACAATGTTGTTTTTGTAAAATAATCCTCTGTTGACGTAGTGAGCTGTAGCTTATTTAACTCATTCCTTTCCAGCGTCTTCGTCCCCCATCTCCTACATCTAGAGCAGGTCTCCCTTGTGTTTCGCATATGTCCAACTTTCAAATTATTCCCACTGAACAAAAGGCTCTCAGCTAGGAGCCTGGTTTTTCCCATTTTCATGCAGGCAGGAGACAAGGAGAAGGCCCACGGTCATTCGTTGTTATCTCTTGTGATAGTGTAAGTCCAGTTCCTATCATTGTTTCATCCCCTGATCAACGTTATCATGGTTTTGGTGGAAGGTCCTGGTCCTGGCGTGAGAGAGGTGATCCCTCAAGTAGCTAGGTCCAACCTTAGGAGGTTTGATCGGGACAGAGATCCTGAAGAGAACTCTGGATTCTATGGGGTTTCAGTGCAGAATGTTGTGTTCATGATGATGCTAAGTAGACAGGCAGCTGCATTGTGTACCAACTGGAGCTTCTCATTCCCTTATTTGTGACTTAGCTACCCAAGGTGTAGTTGGTCCTAGCTGCCAACTTTAACCAAACAACATCTTAGGAATCCCATTTTTCCTTGTGGGAGGATTTGGTTCACAAGATTCAGTGTGCTTCCCAGGTGGTTTTTAAGTGGGCCGCTATTTGGTCCTCAGGAAATATATTCACTTGTCAATCTGTGGTCAACACTACTTTCAGAGCTGATGCATACTTTGGCAGAGTAATTCTGCAGACATTACTTGAACAAACTCTGAATGTTACAGTTTGTGAATCACATGAATGGAATATGCATCTGCAACCACTGGGAGAAGGAAAAAAATGGTTACTTATCTTTTCTGTGACAGTTGTTCTTTGAGATGTGGGTGCAGACATGTTTTCTACAACCCACTTTCTGACTCCTCTTTAGTGGAGTTTTGGGCCATCCTCGCTAGTGTGAAGGAACTGAGAGGGGTTGGGGTGGCACCACCCTCGTATTGCCTCGGGAGGGGACACAAGGAGGTGTGGGGTGCACATGCTGCCTCTACAGGTACTGCTACACGAGAGGGAAGGTCTCCAGCTCTGGTGCGCCAAGCGTGGACATACTTGAGTGGAACATACGTCTGGTGTACACGATCCTTTTATGCCAGATATTGTCGTGAAACAATTCTGGAGCATTAAACGACTGGAGCTAGAATTACTCAGCTGACCACAAACCAAAGGTGATTCTGAGGAATCGGTGACTTCACAGCCTGGTTCATGCTAGATCATTATATCAAATTAGAAGACAGCTGGTTGCTGCAGCACAGGACCTGAAGAAGGAAAAATGAAGTGAATAATGATATGAGCTAGATAAAAATCCATTGTGGGGGATGAAAATTCTGTCAACCTCAGCAACATTTCCCCAAACCACCTCTTCTTGTGGGAGAGGTAATGGGTACATGTACTTTAGAGGCTGCTCCTATTTTCAAATCAGAGGGAAGCCCCCTAATGCAACAGAGACATGAGACACTCTGCAAGGAAAGCTGTGCCTCTGCTGCTTTCCATCATTGGCTTCAACTAGGGGAGCCATGCTGCCATTTTCTTCACCTGCCTGTGGCTTTGCATCGGCAGCAACTGATGTTGCGCAGAACCTACATCTGCACTGTCAGTTGTAATACATATTTTTCAGTACGGTGTAAACACTAAAACTAGTATAAAGAGGGTATCTCTGAACATGTTTTCATGACAGTGGCAAAAACGCCTGAGCATTGTCTATGCTAGCATTTACACCATTCCATGTATTGGTACAATTGCACTAGGGCTGAGAAGTGGGCACAAAGAGTTTTATGCCATAAACCTGTATGTACA